GCCAAGGAGCCGCTGGCTGCCTGACGTTCCAGCCGACCTTGGCCTGGGTTCCAGGGGTGCTGTGCCCTGCATAGATCTCATCTCCCTGGTGCGAGGGTGGGGTGAACAGGCTGGGTTGGTGCGAGTGGCGCCCAGAGGGAGCGTTCACAATCGCTTCGTCGGCACAACGCGCTGCGTTGTCTTTACCAGAGCAGTTACCTTCTCCTTCGAAGTGGTCTCTGGGGGTGCGCAATTGGGGGGCTGAATCAGCGTTCCCTGTAAGCTGAGCACTTGGGCAGCCACCCAGGAGATACTCAAATGCTGTCCAGCTGATCGGCAGAGCGCTGGCAGCAAGTGTCTGTTGGTGGTGCACATCCACACATGCCTTGGTGCACCAAACAAAATTAATTCCGCACGTGGGTGGAAAAAATTAGAGTGCACTTTAGTCTGACCTGTGTGGGGGCAGACGCTGGAGCTCGTAGGACCCTTTGGTCGTCTCCTGCGAATCTGGCCAGCTGGGATCAGCTCCTCCCAGGCTGGCGTGTTGGCACTCGCTAGCTTCACGTGGCTTTGCAGCTTTCCTTACAGCCCCTCTCCCAGTCTGGCCAGGAGCCCTGCCGCCAGCACTGCCACCTCCCTGAAACCGGTTCTCCTGGCTCCGGCCTAGCTAAGCGTTCTCATGACGCGCAGCGATGGGATCTCCAGCGCGCCGGGCTGGCGTCTCCCCGGGGCGTGGGCCGGGAGTTGGGACGGGCCGGTCTGTGCCGCAGTGAGGTCCCCAGGGGCAGAGGACGGGGGGTGACGTCTTGTCCCTTCTGTGCTCGTGTCCAGGAGGGCCTGGACGGCGTCCTCAAGATCCTGGTCAACCAGCTGAGCTCGGATGACGTCAACGTGCTGACCTGCGCCACCGGCACCCTCTCCAACCTGACCTGCAACAACAGCAAAAACAAGACCCTGGATCCTGCCCTCCCCCCCCTCCACCCTCTCCAACCTGACCTGCAACAACAGCAAAAACAAGACCCTGGTGACGCAGTCCAACGGGGGGGAAGCCCTGATCCACACCACACTGCTGGCGTGC